GGTTGGGTTCCGCACCAGGCACCGCGCTGCGGGGGGCAACAGTAGGGACCTGTCCCCTGGGACAGGTGACCCACGGTCCTGTCCTTGTCTCCTGCCCCTGGCGCGGTGCAGTGGCCAAAACTGTGGCCCCGGGGGCCACGCAGAGCAGCTATGCCTCGTTTCATTCCCTGGGGATAGGTTTTAGTTTTCCTTTAGTACTAAAGGACTTTAAGAGCTTTAAGAACACTGTAAGAACTTTAAGAACACTGTAAGAACTTTAAGAACACTTTAAGTACCTTAAGAACACTCCCCCTTGGGAGCTGATTTGTTGACACGTTGCCTATTCCAGCCTATAGCAGCACCTTAGATGGGTGCAGGTACCTGTGCACAGGCTGTTGTCTCCAAGTCACACCAAAATGCTTCACATCAGGTCCCAGGCAGCTGTCCCTGTCCCTGCTCATCCCTCCCAGTAAATCCGTGCCATCCTCAGCAGCATGGGCACAGCTGTGGGATCCCTTGGGCACCCTCTGCCCTTGTGTTTCAGCAGGGGTGGGTGTTGTGCACGGGCACCCTCATGGCTATAGGGATGTCAGTGGTTGGGTTTGGACTTCAAAGCAAATTTTAATAGCAACAGGAACTTATTTTAGCTGCAAAAGTTAGTCCTGGACTTCAGATTCCTGGCTGAGGGGCTGCGGGTTCACCTGCAGGACTTTGGGTGCATACTCAGTTTGGGGTATTGGGCTCCAGGGTGCCCGCTCGCCCTCCCCTTGCCCGACACAGACACCACCTCCGGCTGCCCTGGAGCTCATCTAACTCAGCATCTCTATTTGCTTCCCTGCAGCATCTTCCTGACAGCCATCCTGGGCTTGCCCGAGGCCCTCATCCCTGTGCAGCTGCTGTGGGTGAACTTGGTGACGGATGGGCTGCCAGCCACCGCGCTGGGCTTCAACCCCCCCGACCTGGACATCATGGACAAGCTGCCCCGCAACCCCAAGGAGCCCCTCATCAGTGGGTGGCTCTTCTTCCGCTACCTGGCCATCGGAGGTGAGCCCCCGTGGGCAGAGGATGAGGAGGGGTGTGGGGTGCCACGGAGCAGAGGGCTCCTTGCCAGGTGCTGGGGGTAAGGGTGTCTCTCTTGGCTGCAGTGTACGTGGGCCTGGCCACGGTGGGCGCGGCGACCTGGTGGTTCCTGTACGACGCCGAGGGACCGCAGGTCTCCTTCCATCAGCTGGTGAGTCAGGAGGGCAGCGTGTTGGGCAGACGGGTGAGGGCGTGGGTCAGGCATGGATTGAGTCTTTCTTCTGCCTTTCTTCTGTGGGTATTGTGGCGTTCCAAAATTCCTGGTGGAGGAGACAACTGAAAAAAGGTCAAAAGCACATTCCCTCAGGCTCACGTTCTTGCTTCTGCCAGCAACCACCTCGATCCAAAGAAGCTGGAAGCAGCTCCTGTAGGTGATCCCACATGGAAAGGGATCGATTTTTACACTGCTGTAGGTCTGAACTAGGTGGTGGGAAGGGGGGTGCCATTGTACCCCAATGTCACGTGCAGTGGGAGAGGTGTTTTTGGGGGAGACATGCGTGTGCCCAAACACCTTGTTGACTCCACGTGGAAATCTCTCAGCTGCTATCCAGCCATAACCCCACAGCCTCAGGCACAGCAGAAGCTGGGTCACTTTGGACAGTTTTGTGGGATATTTAACATCATCCTTAATAATCAAGGTTCACCATGTGCCCCCCAACCAGTCGACTCTTCCTCCTCTTTCCTGCCTTTCCTACGCTGCTGCTCTGCCGTGTATTTACGAGAGGTTTCCTGTGCTGACAGAGGAACTTCATGAGGTGCACTGAGGACAATCCCATCTTCGAAGGAATCAACTGTGAGATCTTTGAGTCCAGATACCCCACCACGATGGCTCTGTCCGTGCTGGTGACAATTGAAATGTGCAATGCCCTCAACAGGTAGGGTGGCCACGGGATCGCTCCGCACGCTCCATGTTTTGTGTGGGCCTTTGCTGGTGGGCTGAGGGCTTTGGTTTGGCTCAGCAGAACGGTTTGGAGCATCCTCACGGGGGTTTGCCATCAGTAAACTCCTCGGAGCCACGTGGTGTTGTGGGGAAGGGTGGAGGAGGGACTGGATCCACAGCTACTCAGTCTGGCTGTTACCCACCCGTCCCAAGCGATGTGTGGCTGGTCGTGGTGAGATGGGTGTCCAGGTCCAAATGGCAGCAAAACCTGAAAGTGAACAGTCTGGAAGAGAGGGGGTGTGGCATACAGCCTTGGAGAGGAGAGGGAACCCCCATCGTGGGCAGCAGGGGGCTGGGAGGTTGTCTGGGCTCACGCTGTCCCCTTGCCCTGCAGTGTCTCTGAGAACCAGTCGCTGCTGCGGATGCCACCGTGGCTCAACATCTGGCTGCTGGGGGCCATCATCGTGTCCATGGCTCTGCACTTCCTCATCCTCTACGTCAAGCCCATGCCTGTGAGTGTCCTCTGCCACCGCTGCTCCCAGCTCAGGGGGTTCCTATGGGTGCAGATGTCCCTGGAGTGGTCTGGGTTTAGAAGCTTCAGGGACAGTTGTCCCCACCGTGTGCCCTCAGGCCCAGGTCCTGTGGCTTGAACTAGTGTGGGGACTGGGAGACACCCTGCCCCAGAAGTTCTCCTTATGGGCAATGCAAAGGGGTAGGGATATCTCAGCTCCTTTTAGAGGCATCACCTCCCTTTGCAGCTTCAGCCTAAGGGTGCTTAAGATGAAGTGAGTTGCTGTGCCCAGGAGGTTACATTGTCCTTTGTCTGAGCACATACAATCCCAGCTCTCACTTTCCTCATCTACACGAGAGATGAAGGACATCATTTTTGACTGATCTTGGCTGAGACCCACCTTGGGATCATGACAGACCCTGAAGAAATCCTGCTCCTTGGGCTGTCTGGGTCCTCCCTCCTTGTACCTGGGATGACTTTCTCTCAACCTGTACCATACAACAACCTGATCCTCCAAAAAAAACATCCCACCTCTTTCCCCATTGACGTGTCCAATGCTTTCCACCTTGCAGCTCATCTTCCAGGTAACCCCCCTGAGCTGGCCACAGTGGGTGGTTGTGATGAAAATCTCCCTGCCTGTTATCCTGCTGGATGAAGGACTCAAGTACCTTTCCCGCAACCACCTGGATGGTGAGCACACTCTGTTTGCTCCGTGGTGCTTTGCTTGGGGTCTGTGGAGGCTTCGTGGACACCTCCCTCACCTCCCCTGCTCATGTGGTGTCTGCACCTGCATGTGCCTCCACCTTGGCTGTGAAACAGGGACCTTTGCTCCTACCCCCTCCCCTCCTGGGTGCCACGCCAGGCAGAGCAGTTGGTGCTTACATCTGCTTGAACTTCTCCCTTAGGATCTGGAGCATGAGATAAATCTGCCACGTGGGTTTATCCATCTCCTCCTGAACTTCTGGGAGCTGGATCCCTTTCCCTGTGACACAAAACAAGTCAAACCCTGGTTTCTAACAGGAGTCCTTCCTTTTTTTCCATCAGTCTTCCCCCCCTCTATGTCCATCCTGACCTTGTCTGTGCTGCCTCTATGCTGAGATCAGACGAGAGCTGAACACCTCACAGACTGGTTTATGGTTTTAATGAGCACCTCATTAACTGGTTTTAAGTTGCCTGTGGCACACAGAGGAGAAGCAGCTCCCGTGCCACGGGGAGAGTGGTTCCTGTGTGCTCCTGGGCTCCCTGCTGTAAATCCCAGCCTGTGTTTGGGCAGCTCTCCAAAGAGATGATTTCTTCTTTGCTTTCAGATCTTGCAAAAGATGTTGCTGTGGGTGATGTCTCAGCACTGAGTTAAACCTGCAGGTTTTCCTGGCTGTGGGGCCACGGCTGCCCCCTCTCCAGGAAAACTGATTTTGTGCATTCTTTAGGGTGTGCTTGACAGTGCTAGCAGGGAGGAGAAGGGCAGGAGACACCCTGTCCTTGCCCAGGGAGGAGGGATTGGCTCTGGGGCCAGATGAGCAACCTGAGTGTGGGGATTGGATGTCTTTCCACAGCATCACCTTGCTGAAAGGGTTTTTCACCCCTTAGGCTCCCAGCATCCCAGTCTTCTACCTTCACTCCTTAGCAATGAGCCAGGAAAGCTCTGCAAAGCCACTCTTGCCTTTCAGGGCAGAAGGCAGGTCCATCCAGTCCAGGCAGGGGAATCTGGGGCACTGTAACAGCTCTGGTTGATCCCTCATGGAGCAGAACCATGCAAAAAGCTAGAAAAATGGGGTGGGAAATGTTTGCAAACAGGAAACAGTCACGATGTGGCTGCTCTCCCCATCAGCAGGTCCTGGGGCACTGGGGGGATCACACCAGCTTCCCTTTCTGCAGTGGGCTGATGCATAACCATAGCTGAGAAATGGAGGTGCAGGGGCTCCTATTTTTCCCCATCAGCTAGAAGTTGTTCCTGGCTTATTTTTATTGCATTGTTCCATCTCTCAGCAGACTGACAGGTGCTTTGCACCACCCAGGTCTGGTTTAACGTGTGATTCCAAGCCTCTAACAACAATTTTGTGGCATGGCACTGGGCTGGGGCGTAGGAGAGCTGGTAAATTCCTGGCTGCTGCATCCCATGCATGCCCTAGGCCTTCACTTCTCCATCTGTTAGCTGGGGATGAGTCTTGTCTTTCTCCCACACCTTGCCTTTCTTTGTAAAAGCTCAGTGCTGTTGGAAGAAGGGCTTTTCTTCAGCTCTGCCAGCACAGCTCTGAGCACAGCGGGGTTCCTGGCATCCTTTTGAGTCCTGTCATACCAGCACTGAGTGTTTCCTCCTCCCACACCGTGTTCCTGACACACCAGGTCCTCTGAGCTGCCCTCATCACGATGCTGCTGATGCTCCCAGGTCACTCATGCAGCAAGGCTTTCCCATGCAGCTATTCAATCATGGCTATGGGGCAAAATCATGCTTGAATCATCCCATCTGAAAGAATCGAGATCTTGCATCTTCCCCATCCCTCTGGGCTTTGAAAAGCAAACAAAAAACCAGCTCAAAAAGCCACCTTTAAATGTGGTGTTGTGGTTTTCTTACCAGGCATTCTCAGGACGGTAGAACACACGTGGAGTGGGGAGCACCAGTTGAAAACCTGCAGGACTCCAGAGCAAGGGTTGGCTTCCTTACCTGTCTCACCCTCCATGCCATGTCCCCGTGCACCCTCCAAAATCTTGCTCGTGTGTGGGGGGGACCTGCTTGGAACAAGTCTTGGGTCAACATGGCTTTGAAAAGCAACTGATAGCAGAGCCCAGGGAGGGGTCCCAGCCAGGATCTCCTTTCCCACACTGGCCTCTGTGTTTGGCTCCACAACAAGGTCTAACCAGCCCATGAAGCAGCTGTTTGGGTGGCAGTTTTGGCCAGGGCCCAGGCTCCTGCTTGGTCTCTGCAAGGCAAGGCTTGGGGATGATCTCCAGCGTGGGACCTTCTAAGGGGTGGCCAAGGGTGTTCAGTTTAAGGGCTGCAAATGGACAGCTGTGAGTTCTGCTGATGCAGGTTTTGCATGGAAAAGTTTCTCCTTTGATTGCACTCAGATAAGTTGTGTTTCCATTACACTGGATTTTCCTTGTCCTTGAAGTGGCAGAGAGCTGGGACTCCTCAGTTGTCATTGTGGTCTCTGTGCTTTCCATTCCCCTCCCCATCACCCTGCTCACTTCCAGCCTCTCATCTTGCATGTGGTGGTGCCTTCATCCATCTCTTGTCCCTCTGAGTTTTGTGCTGTCTCAGTTTTGGGAGGTGATGTGTGAAAGTGCAGGGCTGAGCCAGGTTGGCTCGGTGGGACCTGCAGATGTTCTGGTCAGGAAGGTGCAGATGTTCTCCAGGGCCTTCTCAGGGTCTACCCCACAGATAGATGCTGGCAGGCTCACAGGGGCTGACTCTTGCCCTAGCATTGTCAGATTTGCCATGCTCTATGCCCCGTGCTATGCAGGAGGAAGGTTTCCAGGCATCTGTGCCAAGACCTTGCCCAAGTCTCTTTTCTGAGTCATGCTCTAAAGGTACCAAATCCAGACAGGACACAGATAACCACAGTGCTCGTGTCCCTCCATGTGCCACCAGCCCACCCCTGTGGCCCTCCCTGCTCCCCTCCTGCCTGGTCCATGGGTCTCCTCACCTTCACCACCTTGAACAGACCCATTGCTGGTGCTGCCACCGTGGTGTTTTCACTGGTTTTCAGCAGCAGGCCCTGCCCCAGTGCTGGGGTTTCACCATTGCTCACCTGGGCCATGGCAAAAGCAGGAGCAAGTCAAGAACTTTCTGCAGTGCAACTGCCCTGACAGCAGCAGCAGCAGCACTGAAAATCAGTTTTTGATGCACCAACTAGTTTTTGAAGCAGATTTGGTGTGTTTGGGGGCAGATTAGCATTTACTGAGCTCTTTGTCCTCACACCCTGTGAGGACAGCAGCCCCTGGGGGATTTTGCAGGAGCTGCAAGGAGGTGGCCACAGTGGGGACCACTGGGTACCCATCCTTTCCTCGGCAGCTGCAGCTCATATGTGGATGAGGTTGCACCCTTGGGTGGGATTCTCCACTGCTGAGGGAGATTTGGCAGCTTATCTGCAAAGTCAGCATCAGCTCTGTGCTTGGACATCCTTTTCTGCTGACCACTGGCCCAGCTAGGAAGGATATTATCATGAGTGGGCAACACAAGAGCCAGATCCCTCCCTCTGGTCTTAGAGCATATGCAAGAGATCCCAGATGACCCACCACTGGAGGGATGAGTAGACCAATGTATTCACTCACAACATAGCAGAGGGGAGTGAGTAGATTCCAAAACCAGACTATTGATTGCCAGGAGAAAGCCTCATAACTCTCTTCCTATCTCAATCTTGTCCCACCATCACTGGGAGCTCCACCTGCTGTGGGCAGCTGGGGAAGCCCTTCTGACAGCCAGAGATCCCACACAGTGCATCTACTGGGCAGATGGGCTTCCCAACTCCTCTGCAAGCAGAGTCAGCTCCTACCTGATTCACTTGGAGGTGGGACAAGATGTTAGTGTGGAAGGTGGGGGCACCTGGTGGGGATCTCCTAATTGGTTCCCACCCAAACCTGGCCAGACCTTGGGTGAAAATAAATCAGGAAGGTCTTTCTTGCCTGGTTGTGAGCATCACCCACCTGCCAGCCCTCACTCAGGGCTGGGGGTTCAACCCCAGCACTCCCCCCCTCCCAGAGGAGAGCAGCTGGCAGTGGTGACAAATGGGTCACGCTCCCTCTGGGGACCAGCTGGGGCTCCACATCCCTCTGAGACAGCCCAAAATCTGCAGGGACCAAAATCTCCCGGGGGGGGAGGGGGCAGGCAGAGAGCTGGGAGCAAGCACCAGCCCTTATGCCTGGCACTACCTTGGCTGGGCGCTGGCGTCGGGCAGGAATGTGTCCCCGTGGCCAAGTCGCTGCCTGGAGCTGTGGGATGCTCTGGAGGAGAGGGGTCTGCACCTTTCAGTGCTGGAATTCCTCCAGAGGGGGTTTTGCAGCTCTCCTGCCTTGAGTTTTCTTTTTATTCCCCACTCTCTGCTGGTTTTCTGTGTGCATCTGTGCTCGAGAGATGGAGGAGGGGAGGGAAGCTCTCCGGGAGGCTGCCCTGGTGTTGTAAAGGGGTGGGAGGAGGTTTTCCCTCTTGGTTTTGCCCTGGGGTCTCTGCTGGAGCTCGGGGTGCTCTGGTGCCATGGGGGAGATGTGCAGATTTCAGAGCTGTCCCTCAGTGGAGGGAGTGATCCAGGCTGGAGGCTGGAGCCTGCATCTCTTCAGCATCACCTCTTACTGGAGCACGTTCAGAGGAAGGTCAAAAGCAATAAGAAAAAAACTGAGCACCCTGCTCTGGTTGGGGATGTCCCTGCTCCCTGCAGGGGGGTTGGACTGCATGACCTTGAAAGGTCCCTTCCCACCCAAAGCAGCCTGTGAAACCTCCCTGAGACCCACGGCTGTCCTGGTGGGGAGCAGATCTTGTAGGAGATGAGCTCCCATGGTTTGCCTGGAGGTTTGCAGGAGTTACAGAGCTGCCTGAGAAATTTGGTGTGAGGCAGGATCCAGATGGATCCCAACCATCCCATCTCTCCTACAAACAGGTCCCCACACACCCCCTGCTCCAGTCACCAGCGCGTGGGGAGCAGAGCCAGGCACCCACACGTGGGGACCAGCACCCCAGTAACACTGGGTGGGTGCTGGTGCCTTGACTGGGTGCAGCTCTCAGAGAAACACCCTCTGTGTGCCAGGGGGGCTACTTAGAGCACTGAGGGTGGCATTTGGAGGAGCACCCTGCACAGTCAATCGCTGCAGCCATGTTCCCTCCCCAGCCCTGCCCCTGGGTGCTTCACCATGGGGTGAAGCCTTCTGGGGAGTGCCCTGGCTGGCAGGTAACGGCCAGGGAGGCACCCAGGGGGGACTGTGCTGCTG